GCTGGAAACACTGTCTTAAATCAGATCCTTTACTTTGAACCAGTTTTTATGCACAGAATTTCTTAAAACTCTGGGTCAAACTGAAGACTGAGTTTTATCCAGAGGTGTACCATAACTAACAGTGGTGGGCACTAGCCCCCTAAAGTGAAAATTGACTAATTTTTTTGAGCTTTTCTTAATATTTTTTTTAATCTACTTGCAAATATGCACTTTCTAAATTCATGAACGTAATAGTGCATATTTACTTGTTTATATAGGTATGGGCAGTGTTACGTATTTTGTTATACTGCAGTATTAAAATATGACCACAGTATATAATGAGTCACGTGAGGTGAAGTGAAACAAGGCTCTGAGCTGGAAGAAAGAATAGGCTACATGCACCTGTTGTGATGACGTCAGCTCATTCAGAAAACAAACGGAGGAGAGGGGGACAGTAGCTGTGTTTCCATTACAAATGTGCTCAAAACTTTGTCGAAATTCTGTTAATGTTGAAAAACACAGTTTTGCAACTGTTGTGTTTCCATTAAGTAAGAAATGCTATTAAAGTCACGCGTGAACACGTTTGTTCTCATGATAAGTCATTACAAACATGGCGGCGATGGATGTAAACACATAGCATGACACTAGCGCTCATCATCAGAGGAGACGTCGGCGTCTTTTATCGAGGCTACGTATGAAATTGTAGTCGGTGAGTTTACTATTTTATACTACTTCTGTGATATTACTACTTCTTCTACTTCCTGTTATCTTCTTCTTCGTCTTTTTCACCAGTAGAAACAGCCGGTTGTTGATCACGTGACACCCGTGATGTGAAAAAAGTGTTTCCATTGCAGTTTTGTGAAAAACACCAATTTTGATACGGCCGAAAAACCAACTCATCCTAGTGCAAAAACATTTTGTCGAAAAATGTAATTTTTTCGAAATTGACGTGTTTCCATTGAGCAAATTTATTTTTCGAAATTCTAATTTGCGCATTTTCATGGTCAATGGAAACACAGCTGGAGACCCCCGTCCCCGTCTGAACGAGGGTTAAAAAACTCAGCTTCACAGGTTTAAATTGAGAAAGTGACAGAAATGGAAGAAAACACTTTCACTGTAGTTTGTTTTTTTTATCTTCTTTTGGATTTGCTAATGATGTAAAACCAATCTTGGACACACCTGAGGGGTATATAACAGAGTGGTTTCCTGCTTTATCAGCAGAGGTCCCATTTCTCAGTGTCACAAAGAAGGATGTTTGAGCACATCTTGATCACCATGGAAACAGTCTGAGCGAAGCTCGTTCACCTATTCTGTTCATAATTACATCCCAGAAATAAATACATAAAAATCATACTGAAACATCTGTATTTCTAGTTTGATTTTTATTTATTTTGTTTGGATTACTTGAGATGTTGTCATAACAAATTTAATTAAAATATCTTTAAAGAGCAGAGGATTTATGTTGTATCTTTATGTCTGATATTTGTTGTATTTTGAGGGGGTGGGGGTGTTCTGACCCAGTAGTGACATTTGAGTTCAKCACTAACACCAGAGGAAAGTGTGAGAGTTTTACATCCCACTAACCTGTTTAGGAGCGTCTCTAACTCACATTCTGTGAAATTTCTCTTTGTCTTGACTCTACACATGAATATTGATCATAGATATWTATCACTGGATTGGGCGTCACGTGACCTGGGCGTGGCTTCGCAAGGGGGACTTTTATGCATTGAGCTAATGCTAACGCTAACCATTGAAATCAAAAAGCAGAACGTAGCGCGGTGCAAACAAACACTTTATAAATGTACAAATGGTTCAAATACTTTGCTATAAATTTCAGAAATTGATACATGTTTACAAGAGCTAAAAGGGTTATGTTTCACAGGTAAATATTACGCATATTTAACCAAAATTATTTTAATTATAAAACCTGTATGCTAACATTAAACAGCTTCAATTCTCATGTTTAACCTTTTTTAAAATCGATTTTATCTGTTGTCAAATATTTGATAAGAAACATGTAAATATGGACTTTATTGGATTGTTGACTAGTTAGACTGCATAATAATCCAGAAATTATGTAGACCCACTAATGACAGAAACAGTAATGTAATGATTGAGCATCATAAACATTTAATAGTTACGTTGTCAGACAGGCCGGTTAATTCAGATTTTATATTTTCTTTATTCAGTATTTGTGTTTTTCAACATTTCCAGACAAAAAGTAGAAAGAAAAAGTGCCAGCTGTGGTTCAGCTTCAGATACAGCCTGCATTATTGTGA